CTCGTATCGGATAAAATAGATTTTAAAGCAACAAAGATACAGTGGTAAAAGGATCAATGCAACAACAAGAGCTAACGATCCTAACACCCAGATACATAAAGACTTAGACTCAATCAGACAAAAAATTAATAAGGATATCAAGGACTCGAACTCAGATCTGGAACAAGTAAATTTAATAAATATTTATAGAGCTCCCCACTTCAAATACACAAAATATACGTTCTTGTCAATACCACATCACACCTACTCATAAGTTTAAATGAAACATTGATTGGCCATTATTAATACCCAATTTTTTTCAGAATAAAGCAATATTTCCGTTTACTCTCCCTCTTTCTCGTCCTCTTTCTTCCTCTCCTTTATTTTTATTTATTTATTTTTTTCTTTCCTTCTCTCAAAAAAAGAAATCAACTTGTAAACCTCTAGATCCAGGTCGGCAGTGTCTCTCTCATTGCTTGATTTCCTTCCTTCCCTTCCCTCCTTCCCTCCCTCCCTCCCCCCTTCTTCCCTTCCTTCCTTCATCCCTTCCTTCCTCCCTACTGTCCTCCTTCCCTCCCTTCCTGCCTTCCTCCCAAAAAAACAAAAAACAAAAAACAAAAAAACAAAACCTAATGGTATGCTACATCCAGACCCATTTCACATCCAAAGATACACAAAGACTTAAACCAAAGGGACGGAGAAAGATTTACCAACCAAATGAAGAGCATAAATAAATAAAAAGCAGGAGTTGCAATTCTCGCATCTGATAAAATAGATTTCAAAGCAACAAAGATATAGTAGTAAAAGGATCAATGTAACAATAAGAGCTAATGATCCTAACACTCAGATGCATAAGGCTCATAAAGAGATTTAGACTCAACGAGACAGAAAATTAATAAGGATATCCAGGACTTGAACTCAGATCCGGAACAAGTAAACTCAATAAATATTTATAGAGCTCTCCACTTTAAATACACAAAATATACATTCTGCACCTTAAATACACAAAATATTGATCGGCCATTATTAATACCCGTTTTTAGAATAAAGCTACATTCCTGTTCTCTCTCCCTCTTTTCTTCCTCTTCCTTTTTCTCCTTCACTCCTTTTTTTTTCTTTCTTTCAAAAAAAAGAAGAAAAAAAATACAAATATTAGCTGGGCATGGTGATGCGCACCTGTAGTCCCAGCTACTCGGGAGGCTGAAGCAGGAGAATTACTTGAACCCAGAAAGCAGAGGTTGCAGTGAGCTGAGATTGTGCCATTGCACTCCAGTCTGGGTAATAACAGCGAAACTCCATCTCAAAAATAAAATAAAATAAAATACTGGTAAACTGATTGCAACAGCACATCAAAAACCTATCCATCATGATCAAGTAGGCTTCATCCCTGGGATGCAAGGCTGGTTCAACATATGCAAGTCTATAAATGTAATTTACCACATAAACAGATCCAAAGACAAAAACCACATGATTATCTTAATAGATGAAGAGAAGGCCTTTGACAAAATTCAACAGCGCTTTATGGTAAAAATTCTCAATAAACTAGGTATCGACAGAATGTATCTCAGAATAATAAAAGATGTTTATGACAAACCCAGAGCCAATATCATACTGAATGGGCAAAAACTGGAAGCATTCCCTTTGAAATCTGGCAATAGACAAGGATGCCCTCTCTCGTCACTCCTATTCAATAGAGTATTGGAAGTTCTAGCCAGAGCAATCAGGCAAGAAAAAGAAATAAAGGGTATTCAATTAGGAACAGAGGAAGTCAAATTGTCTCTATTTGCAGACAACATGATGGTATATTTAGAAGACCCCATTGTCTCAGCCCAAAATCTCGTGAAGCAACTTCAGCAAGGTCTCAAGATACAAAATCAATGTGTAGAAATCACAAGCATTCCTATACATCAATAACAGACTTAAAGAGAGCCAAATCAAGAATGAACTGCCATTCACAATTGCTACAAAGAAAATAAAATATCTAGGAATACAACTAACAAAGGATGTAAAGGACTTCTTCAAGGAGAACTACAAGCCACTGCTCAACGAATTAAGAGAGGACACAAACAGATGGAAAAACCTTTCATGCTCATGGTTAGGAAGAATCAATATTGTGGAAATGGCCATACTGCCCAGAGTAATTTATAGATTCAATGCTATCCCCATCAAACTACCTATGACCCTCTTCACAGAACTGGAAAAAAACACCTTAAACTTCACATGGAACCAAAAGAGAGAGCCCGCATAGCCAAGTCAATTCTAAGCAAAAAGAACAAAGCTGGAGGCATCACGCTACCGGACTTCAAACTATACTACAAGCCTATAGTAATCAAAACAGCATGGTACTGGTACCAAAACAGAGATATAGACCAATGGAACAGACGAGGGGCCTCGGAGGCAACACCACACATCTACAACCATCTGATCTTTGACAAACCTGACAAAAACAAGCAATGGGGAAAGGATTCCCTGTTTAATAAATGGTGTTGGGAAAACTGGCTAGCCATGTGCAGAAAGCAGAAACTGGACCCCTTCCTGACACCTTACACTAAAATTAACTCCAGATGAATTAAATACTTAAACATAAGACCTAACACCATAAAAACCCTGGAAGAAAACCTAGGCAAAACCATTCAGGACATAGGCATAGGCAAGGACTCTATGACTAAAACACCAAAAGCAATGGCAACAAAAGCCAAAATAGACAAATGGGATCTAATTAAACTTGAGAGCTTCTGTACAGCAAAAGAAACAATCTTTAGAGTGAACTGGCAACCAGCAGAATGGGAAAAAAATTTTGCCATCCACCTATCTGACAAAGGGCGAATATCCAGAATCTACAAAGAACTAAAATAGATTTATAAGAAAAAAACAAACAAACCCATTCAGAAGTGGGCAAAGAATATGAACAGACACTTTTCAAAAGAAGACATATATGAGGCCAACAAACATATGAAAAAAATGCTCATCATCACTGGTCATTAGAGAAATGTAAATCAAAAGCAGATTGAGATACCATCTCATGCCAGTTAAAATGGTGATCATTAAAAAATCTGGAGACAACAGATGCTAGAGAGGATGTGGAGAAATAGGAACACTTTTACACTGTTGGTGGGAGTGTAAATTAGTTCAACCATTGTGGAAGACAGTGTGTCAATTCCTCAAGGACCTAGAAATAGAAATTCCATTTGACCCAGCAATCCCATTACTGGGTATATATCCAAAGAATTATAAATTGTTCTATTATAAAGACACATGCACATGTATGTTTATTGCAGCACTGTTTACAATAGCAAAGACCTGGATCCAACCCAAATGCCCATCAATGATAGACTGGACAGGGAAAATGTGGCACATGTACACCATGGAATACTATGCAGCCATAAAAAATGATGAATTCGGTCAGGTGTGGTGGCTCATGCCTGTAATCCAAGCACTTTGGAGGCCAAGGCGGGTGGATCACCTGAGGTTGGGAGTTCAAGACCAGCCTGACCAACATGGTGAAACCCTGTCTTAAAAAAAACAAACAGGGGAAGGGGAGGGACCACTGAGAAGCATCGCAGCAACCTGACCATGGTCAGTCTTCCCTGGACACCATGAACCACACGGTCCAAACCTTCTTCACTCCCGCCAGCACCAGCCGTCCCCCAACTATGAGATGCTGAAGGAGGAACATGAGGTGGCTGCGCTGGGGGCGCCCCACAACGCTGCGCCCCCGACATCCACCGTGATCCACATCCAAAGCGAGACCTCCGTGCCCGACCACATTGTCTGGTCCCTGTTCAACACCCTCTTCATGAACTCCTGCTGCCTGGGCTTCATAGCATTCGCCTACTCCGTGAAGTCTAAGGACAGGAAGATGGTTGGCGACCTGACCGGGGCCCAGGCCTACGCCTCCACCGCCAAGTGCCTGAACATCTGGGCCCTGATTTTGGGTATAATCACAACCATTCTGCTGATCATCATCCCAATACTGATGCTGCAAGCCTATCAGTAGATCAGAGGAATCATCCCGGCCAGGGGCTCTGCCTGTGACCTGTCTCCCACGTACTCCAGCTTCCATTCCTCACCCTGCCCCCAGCCAATCCTGTATCAGCCTTTTACCCTCACACACTTTTCTACAATTGTGTTCAATAAAGTGCACATGTTCCTGGGGAAAAAAAAATAAAAAAAATAAAAATAAAATAAAATAAACAAACAAAAAAACCATGATGAATTCGTGTCCTTTGTAGGGACATGGATGAATCTGGAAACCATCATTCTCAGCAAACTGACACAAGAACAGAAAATCAAACACCACATGTTCTCATTCATAGGTGGGTGTTGAACAATGAGAACACATGGACACAGGGAGGGGAGCATTACACACTGGGGTCTGTTGGTGGGGAATAGGGCAGGGACAGCAGGGGGTAGGGAGTTGGGAGGGATATCATGGGGAGAAATGCCAGATATGGGTGATGGAGGCAGTAAACCACATTGCCATGTATGTACCTATGCAACAATCCTGCATGTTCTTCACATGTACCCCAGAACCTAAAGTGCAATCAAATATATATAAAAAGAAATAAACAACCGGGTGTGGTGGCTCATGCCTGTAATCCCAGCACTTTGGTAGGCTGAGGTGGGCAGATCACTTGAGGCCAGGAGTTCGAGACCAGCTTGGCCAACATGGTGAAACCCCGTATCTATTTAAAAAAAAAAAAAAGGCCGGGCATGGTATTCACGCCTGTAATCCAAGCACTTTGGAGGCCAAGGTGGGCAGATCACTTGAGGTTGGGAGTTCAAGACCAGCCTGACCAACATGGTGAAACCCAATCTTTAAAAAAAAAGAAAAGAAAAGAAAGAGAAAAAAATAATTTAAGAAAAGTTTCATCTTGGGATAATGAAAATGTTCTAAAAGAAGATTCTGATGATACTTGCACTGTACATTTACTGAATGTCACTGAAATATACACTGGAAAATGGGTGAATTTTATAATGTTTACATCTATTGAGGTTAGGATCCTGATTTTGCCACTTACAGCTCTTCTGTAGTAACAAACAGCTCTCAAATCCCAGTTGGCTTAAAACAGCAAGCACATTCTTCACTCCATCACATGTCAGGGACCACAGGTCATTTGCCGCAGTTCTGCTCCACGTGGCTTCTCATCCTAGCACCTGATCTGAAGGAACAGACCCAACACAGGACTGTGTTCGCCTGGCCACGGGGAAGAACAAGAGGCTCATTCACACAAGCAATGGCTCTTAAAGCTTCTGCTAGAGCTGGTGGGGGTCATGTTCCCTCATGCTTTATTGGTCAAGGCAGACAGTGGAGAGGATGGTGTACTCACCCAGCCAGGAGGCTCCACACCTGCTGAACGTTGTGTAGGGGGTGCATGCCTATGATCAGCTTACAGAGAAGACAACAATGAATTAACTGACTATAGTGATCTTTCTTACAAGTGATTGGACATTTCTAGTCCCCTGTTTCTTTTATCTAGAAAATGGGGAGACAAGAGTGCCCATTTCATGGGACTTATTGGGGTTGTCAGGATCAGTAAGCAATGACATGTAAAGTAGGCCTGGTAACTGATTTAAGCAGTAGCCGCTGCTGTTGCTATTTATTTATTTAAAGACAGTCTCATTCTGTTGCCCAGGCTGGAGTGTAGCAACTCACTGGAGGCTCAGCTCACTGCAGCCTCCGCCTCCTGGGTTCAAGTGATTTTCCTGCCTTAGCTTCCTGAGTAGCTGAGATCACAGATGCGTACCACCACACCTGGCTAATTTTTGTATTTTTACTGGAGATGGGGTTTTCATGTTGACCAGGCTGATCTTGAACTGCTCATCTCAGTTGATCCGCCCACCTCAGCCTCCCAAAGTGCAAGGATTACTGGCATGAGCCACTGTGCCCAGCTGACTGCTGCTGTTCTTATTGTCGGACAAACTCTTACACTAGAAGGCCCCACTCAAAATCACATCAGCATCTTCTTTGTGATTCCTGCTCTTTGGTTTCCAACTCCCTTTCCCACATAGCATTTGGAAGCTATGTGGCAGAAGTGCACGGCTTTGGTGCTGCCTCTGCAATACAGCAGCTGTGTAACCCCTCAGGTAAGTTGTTAGAGCTTTGGATGCAATGGTTTTTACAACTTAAAATGGGGTTTATCTTACCTGCCTCTAAAGGTCATCACAAGGATTATTTGAGATAAATGTATTGTAAAACCTGCTGCTGGCAAGAACCCAACAATCAATAATTGGTTATTATTATGGGCTATTATGACCTCTGTAATAACCCTTATGTTGCCTATAAGATTTGTTTAAAGGTTCAACATTAAGACAGTTAACTTCTTTAGTATAGGAAATTAACTTGTGTATTCCTGGTCTCTGACACATGGTAGGAATTTGATAGGTAATAAAGACATTGAATAAATTTATTCTTGCAACTTTGACATTTTAAATATTTTTTAATGATTGATCATGGTTTTTAAAGCCACCACTTATTGTAATGGAGGCATTTTACATGTGGTCACCCTCCAATTTCATTGTTTTAAAAAACCACAGAGGGCTAGGCACGGTGGTTCATGCCTGTAATCCCAGCACTTTGGGAGGCTCAAGGCGGGCAGATCACAAGGTCAGGAGTTCGAGACCAGCCTGGTGAAACCTGTCTCTACTAAAAATATGAAAATTAGCCAGGTGTGGTGTCTTGCACCTGTCTCAAAACAAAACAAAAACCCAGAGAGGTTGGTGGTGTTTTCATCTCGGAACCTGACCCCTAAAGTGAGGTTTACCTGAGGTGAAGTTAATTCTCCCAGCACAGAGGTGCTGCTTGTGTCAGAGCCAGGATTTGAATCCAAGGAGTCTGGCCTTGAAGAGCTCTTTCCACTTTAACATGTTGCCAGCTGCTATCACTAATGCCTAATTCATGAGGATCATCATCCTCCGGTGTGAGTGATTGCAAAGACAAACCCATATCATTGTGAAACTCCCTTCATTGTGCTTGTGACAGGGTGGGGCAGCTGGGCAGTGGGCTGGAATTTGGAGTCTTGGGTCCCAGAAGAAGGCCCTCTGTTCAGTTCTCAGAGTGACATTGGAAACATCATCTCTCCTCTGCAGAGAAATTTTCTACATTTGTAAAATAAACTCAGTCTCTATTTTTCAAGATTGTCCTGAGGATTAATTGAGATCAGGTTTGAGAATTAGCCCAGGGTAGAAGCTCAAGTATTATAAATTGTTATAATTTCTTGATTTCCACACTCCATTTAAAGTTTTTGAATTTACCTTTCCTTTTTTGAGTCAGAGTCTCACTTTATTGCCCAGGCTGGAGTGCAATGTGGTAATCTCGGACTACTGCAATCTCCGCCTCCCAGGTTCAAGGGATCCTTGTGCCTCAGCTTCCTAAGTAGCTAGTATTACAGGCATGCACCACCACGCTTGGCTAATTTTTGTATTTTTTAGTAGAGATGGGGTTTCACTATGTTGGCCAGGCTGGTCTCGAACTGATCTCAAGTGATCTGCCCTCCTCGACCTCCCAAAGTGCTAGGATTACAGGTGTGAGCCACCGCGCCTGGTCTGAATTTACCTTTCTTATGGGGAACAATCTGAAGTAAAGTTGAGCTCTACCTAGTTAGGGCTAAATTCAGCTGTTCCATTTGAGTTACTCCATATAAAAACTAAAATCAGATTTCTGCAACTTAATTGGAAGTGCATTAAAAATAAGATAGGGGCTGGGTATGGTGGCTCATACCTGTAATCCTAGCACTTTTGGAGGCCGAGATGGGAGAATTGCATGAGGCCAAGAGTTCAAGACCAGCCTGGGTGATAGAGAAAGACCCTCATTTCTACAAAAAACTCTAAAAATTAGCTGGGAGTGGTCATATCCACCTGTGTTCCCAGCTACTTGGGAAGACTGCTTGAGCCCAAGAGGTCAAGACTGCGGTAAGCTGTGATTGTGCCACCACACTCCAGCCTGGGCCACAGAGCAAAACCCTGTCTCTTAAAATAAGGAATTGATATGAAACCGCCTTTGCAAAATTATGGCAGTAAGAAAAATCTGACGTAGTTGACTCCATCTTGCTTCTAACCTCCAATCTGGGCATAGGCAAAGCTAACTTTGGGAGGAGTTTATAGTTCAACCTTAAAGCAAGGCTGACATTAGCCCTTTCCAAAATTAAACTGCCTTTGTAAAACTAATGAAAGGCCACAAGGCTAGGATCGTAAGAGGGGCCTGAATTCCGCTAAGATGGAGGTGTAAACGATAACCAGCCACTGCTCTGGAAGTCACAAGATTTGCAACTTCCTCAGTTACTCCTATAGATAACATCACTATTGTAGAACCTAAGATTTGCCGTTTGAAATGTTTCTTTTCAAACTTTTGCATTTCTGCTGACTCCACCCAGAGGCTGACTCAGCCCATGAGGACCCCTCCTATGAATGATCACATCCCCAACCAATCAACATTTCCCATTTCCTCCACCCTGCCTACAAACTATCCTTGAAAAACTCTAACCTCTAAGCCCTTGGGAAGACTGATTTGAGTAATAACCACCATCTGCCTGGCCACGTGCATGGCCAGCCTTGCATCAGTGAAACTGTTTACTGAAATGCCAAGGACTCAGTGAACTGGTTTCATCTGTGCAGTGGGCAAGAAGAAGCCTTGGGCAATTACAGATAGATGGCTAGAAGGATAGATTTTTTTTAGACAGACATGCGATTCTAAGCAAAACATTAGTAGTTGTGGAATCTAGGGTATATGAGTGTTCCCTGTAACCTGACAGTAAACTTTTTCACTGAAAGGTCTTTCAACTTTTTTATATGTTTTCTTTTTCTTTTTTTTTTTTTTTAGACAGTTTTGCTCTTGTTGCCCAGGCTGGAGTTCAATGGTACAACTTCAGCTCACTGCAACTTCCGCCTCCTGGGTTCAAGCGATTCTCCTGCCTCAGCCTCCTAGTAGCTGGGATTACAGGCATGTACCACCATGCCCGGCTAATTTTGTATTTTTAATAGAGATGGGGTTTCTCCATGTTGGTCAGGCTGGTCTTGAACTCCTGACTTGCCTCCCGAAGAGTTGGGATTATAGGCATGAGCCCCCATGCCAGGCCTTTCTGTATGTTTTTATTTTTTTTTGAATTCTTCCGTCTGTACTGTATTATGTTTTCATATTAAAATGTTGTGGGAGGCTGGGCATGGTGGCTTACTCCTGTAATCCCGATTATAGTAGGTAGATCAATTGGGCCCAGGAGTTCGAGACCAGCCTGGGCAACAAGGCAAAACCTGGTCTTTACTAAATATACAAAAATAACCCTGGTACGATGGTGCAAGCCGGTAGTCCCACCTACTTGGGAGGTTGAGGCAGGGGGATTGCTTGAACCCAAGAGGCAGAGGTTGCAGTGAGCTGAGATCGTGCCACTGCTTTCCAGCCTGGGTTACAGAGAGAGACGTGGTCTAAGAAAAAAAAAAAAAGGGCTGGGAGCAGTGGCTCACACCTGTAGTCTCAGCACTTTGAAAGGCCAAGGCGGGTGGACCACATGAGGTCAGGAGATCAAGACCAGCCTGGTCAACATGGTGAAACCCGTCTCTACTAAAATACAAAATAATTATCTGGGCATGGTATGCACCTGTAATCCCAGCTACTCAGGAGGCTGAAGTGGGAGCATTGCTTGAACCTGGGAGGTGGAAGTTGCTGTGAGCCAACACCTTGCACTGCACTCCAGCCTGGATATTTATATAGGCCAGGTGCAGTGGTTCATACTGTAATCCCAGCACTTTGGGAGGCGTGAGGCGATCACGAAGTCAAGAGATCAAGACCATCATGGTGAAACCCTCTCTCTACTAAAAATACAAAAATTAGCTGGGCATAGTGGCGTACCCCTGTAGTCCCAGCTGCTAGAGAGGCTGAGGCAGGAGAATCACTTGAACCCAGGAGGCGGAGGTTGCAGTGGGCTGAGATAGTGCCACTGCGCTCCAGCCTGGCGAAAGAGCGAGACTCCGTCTCAAAAAAAGAAAAAAGAAGGGCAGGTTCGGTGGCCCATGCCTGTAATCCTAGCACTTTGGAAGGCCAAGGTGGGTGGATCACCTGAGTTCAGGAGTTCAAGACCAGCCTGGCCATCATGGTGAAATCCCATCTTAAAAAAAACAAAAAAAAGGGGTCCAAAGTGGCTCCCGCCGGAGGTCATGGCGCTCGCGAAGGCGAGGTCATCAGTTCAAGGCTAATCTCATAAGCTCAAACTGATTGGCAAAAAAAAAAAAAAAATTAAAAAATTTAAAAAAAACAACAAAAAAAAGAAGTTGTGGGGGAAGTCCTAAAATCATGGCCATTTCATTATACTCCATGGGGCCATTCTGTATCAGATTTACCAGGGCCCCAGAAGCCCCAGCTTCCCCAGAGGCTCTATGGGATTCTCAGTGGGTCTTCTTAGTGCAGTGGAGTATTGTTTGCCATGCCTCAAGGCACACAGGTACTTAGCTAGGTGCTTGTCCATCTTATTTTTGTAGGGGAGTATCCAGACTCTGCTGAGTGTCAGTCCTTTGCAAACGCAGCTTTGATGGAATGGTGGGATGGGAAGAGGTGGTGAGTGAGGAGGGTGACAGCAGCTCCCAAGGCAGTTTGACTAAGTTCTGCCTTAGAGGTGGTTAAAAGACAGGCTCCCGACCCTCTCTGGAGAAAAGACTTTGGTCCAGTGGGCCTAGGGCTCAGGAGGACTCCTTCATGCCCAAGGTTTCTGAGGGGACAGCTGATGGTATTTCAGGGGATCAGACCTGGAGAGGGGGATGTCAGGATAGGCAGGGGGTGTAGGTAAATTCCCCTGAATGCTCTCTGTTGTTGCATTGAATGTTCTCTCTCATTTAATACAAGAAACAGGATGGGCACAGTGACTTACACCTGTAATCCTAGCACTTTGGTAGGCCAAGGTGGGAAGGCTGCTTGAGCCCAGGAGTTCGAGACCAGCCTGGGCAACACAGCGAAAGACCTCATCTTGATGAAAAAACAAAAGCTGGGCATGGTGGCACTCATCTGTTGTCCAGCTACTTGGGAGGATCACTTGAGCCCAGGAGGTCGAGGCTGCAGTGAGCTATGACCGCACCACTGCACTCCAGCCTGGGGAAAGGAGTGAGACCTCAAATGTAAAAATAAAAGTAACCTAAAAAAATTCTTTCTTTATAGGATAAAAATTCCTATATTAAGCCAAAAGACAATGCTGAAAATGGCAAAATCCTGAAGGTCACTTTGGGGCAAGGCCCACTGTGATCCCCATTGTTAATTTCATTGTGACAGTAGTGTGGTGGGCAGGGAGGGAGGTCAGAGTCTGGTGGGAACCAGGTTTTAGGAGGAGGTATTTGAAGAATGTGTAGGGGTAAGGAGGCTGGTGTGGTCAGAAGGGCCATCTCTAATTTCTGCCTTGCATTGGTGATGAGATCTGCACTTTCTGGAACCCCCAGAGGAGTTTGCTGGTGCCTTTAAGGCAAGCACAGGGCCTGCCTTATCCAGGTAGCCCTGGCGTGGGTGCGGGTGTCCAGGGCAGCAGGCAGGGGGCTAGGCAAGGCTTACCTCTGACACAAGGGTCCAGAAAGGGCATGCACTAGCATGATCAAAGTCCCGCCTGAGTGGTACGGGAAGCGTCTCTGGTTGGGCCAGGGCTGGGCAGGTGGGGACCTTTGCTTCCCTCCCAGGAAGGCAGCCTCCCCTTCCCCTTCTGTGAGGCCCTATAACAAGGCCTATCTCGGGTTTTCGCGAGGGCCAAATTGGGAGGACACGTACAATACCAGCTCAGCACCTGACGCCCGGTACACACTCAATGAACCTAACTGTTGCTATTTTAACAAATACCTCTTCCCTGTGGAAATGGTTAAATGCCTTTTAAATGGCTATACGGTAACTAGTTTTATAGACATTATTCTTATCTGCATTTGCAGGGTATCTTGGCTCTGCTGCTTCTAATTTTTTGCCATGATAAAACAGGGAACATGAGCATCTTGTGCAAGGTGAGTTTTTTTTTTTTTTTTTTTGGCTCGCTGTGGCCTCAAGCTCCTGGGCTCAGGTGATCCTCTCACCTCAGCCTCCTGAGTAGCTGGGACCACATGTACGCGCCACCACACCTGGCTCATTAATTTTACTTGTGGAGACAGAAGTCTTCTAGGTTGCCCAAGTTGGTCTCTAACTTTCCTCGGCTCAAGCGATCTTCGCTCCTCGGACTCCCACAATGTTGGGATTACAACCGCTAGCCACTGCACCGGCCTTCTGCAAGTTCTGGAGGACGGATGCGGGGCCTAAATCGGCTTCAGGCCCTGCCAGGCGCGGCCGCCCATACTTCCCTCGGGTGTCCACCAGGGGGCGAATGGGAGTCGAGAACGGGGTTTGAATACGCACGCGCACGCCGCTGGGCGCACGTGCGGAGGGCGGCGGGCCGGGAGGGGAAAGGTAGGAGGTGAGAGGTGAAGGGGCGGGCGCCCGGCGGCCAGAAGGGAGAGGGCGGGCGCTACGCACCGGACTGCGGGCCGGGAGCGCGCACGCCGCGCTCCGCCCCCGCCGCCGCCTCAGTCGCCGTCGCTGCCGCCGCCCAGGAGCTGCTACCGCCACAGGTACTGTAGTGTGGGTGCCCAGGGCGCCTGCCCGCCGGCTCCGGCTCGGCTCCAGCCGCGCGGAGCCGGGAGTTCCGGGATGGGGGCCGCTACCGGAGGGGGTGCGTGGGCATGGCGCTGTCCAGCAGTCGTGTGGGCCGGCCCTGGAGACCGCAGCCGGGCAAGGGGGCAGGGCTGCCGCGTCCCCACCCCCACCGTGGCCGCGCCCCTGCCTGGGCCGGCCCGGGGAGCCCCGCGTCCCCACCAGACCTCCGCGAGCCCGGAGTGTGCCAGGGGGAGAGGGGAGAGGAGGTCGCGCCGTCGCATCATCTGGCCTAGTCGCTCGGGGCAGCTGGTCAAGAACCTGCTGTGGGGCTGTCTGGGTTTTCCGGAGTGCGGGGGAGAGCATGCTTTCCACTTCTGCCTCTTTTGGAAGATCTGATTGAGAGACAACGCTAGCTGCTTTGCTGGTTTTGCGTGGTTTCTAGTTTTCCATATTGCTTAAACCTCAACTTTGCACACTAGTATTGCTTCTGTTTACTTCTGAGTGGGCTTATTAATAATCTCAGAATTATACCGGCTTATAATGTCATGATAGCGTTAGTTGCAGGGAGTCCTGGATCCAGACTGTTTGAATCCCAGAGAGTTGTCCAGATGGGAATGCGGAGGGGGACAGTGAGTCCCTGTGGGGGGGGTCTGGCAGGAGTCAGCCCCTGGTGCGGGTCACTCACTGCCCCACCTTCTATGGTAACAGTCGGAGCTGGGTGAATAAACTCTGGGGATTTCGTGATAGTTATTGCGAAGCGGCTATAGAAAAGGTTTAATGTTGTTAGCTTTGCGTGTGTTTCTTTTATTTGGCAAAAAGTTTTGTGGAGTTTGGTTATGCGGTGTCCTTATTGGTTTGTTATCATGTCAGGATATTGTGCTAAAGACTGACGCTTTTATTAGGGAGTCAGGATCAAGGGTGTCTAGTTAGTGCTGTATGCATTTTAGGTGTTCCTCAGTGATGCCTAAAAATCTGTCTTTTGTTTTGATTTCTTTTGAAACAGGGTCTCACTCTGTCTCCCAGGCTGGAGTGCAGTGGCGTGATCTCTGCTCACTGAAGCCTTGATTTCCTGGGCTCAGGTGATCAATCCTCCCACCTTGGCCTCCCCAGCAGCTGGGACCACAGGTGTGTGCCATCCCACCTGGCTATTTTTGTAGTGATGGAGGTCTTGCTGTCTTGCTGTTCGAGTTGGTCTCGAACTCCTGGGCTCAAGCATTATACAAGCCTTGGCCTTCCAAAGTGTTGGGATTATAGGCATCAGCCACTGTGACCCGTTTGCATTTTAGGTGTTTTACACATTTGCAGCATTCCCACTGAGCACATGATATAAAAAACACTATATAAATATATTTAACACTATAAATATATTTCTGTATTCTTTTGGTCATGAATTGAAATGGAAAAAATTAGACTTTTAAAATTTGTTATGAACCGACCTGATGTTGAAATGCTCTCTCTCTTGCTTTGGTTACAAAAACAGCCCCTCTCTAGAGATCTCCATGTACTATATTATAATCACTGGTTTGGGGCCCTTCCCCCATTCCCCCAGTCACTGTTATGAGGTGGATAAAAAGTTTACTCTAAGCTTATGGACACATATGAGATTCAGAAATTAAACTAAAAAAAAAAAAAAAAAAGATGGAGGCATAAATCACATAAAGATGTGATTTGCCTGAGGTCATATGTGAACAAGTAAACTACAAGTAAACTACCCAGTTGGGAAAGGAACCGTGCCTGTGGGCTTCAGTGCAGGTATGTTTAATAGCATTTGCTGGTAGACTTTAGGGATGTTTTCTCTCTGTGTCTAGCCATGCGTTTGAATGTGAACATGCCTCTGGGATCCTGGAATGACAGGTTCATGTGCTGTTGGCTTACTCAGCCATTGGTGGTTGCCAGTGTTAAGTTTTACTGGCTGTGACTGGTACTTCATATTCAGTTTGTGTCATCACCCCCATTGAACAGAAGAGTGGATTCCTCATAGGGAAGCCAAGCTTTCTTACAAGGTCACCCAGCTTTTCAAGGGTGGATCATCCTTCAAACCACACCTCTGCCACCTGAGCTACTTCTGTTAGAACTTGCTACCTTACTGAGTTGGCTGAAGAAACAAGGTTCAGGTGTCATCTTTTGGCACCCAAATTAATACTTTTGGGTGAGATTTATTGAGCCCAAAGCTGTTTAGGCACTGTCTTAGGTACTGTAATATTAGCTTATGTCACTTAGTCCTCATGATAACCAGATGAGATAACACTGTTATCACCCCCTTTACGGATGAGTTTTAGAAAAGTTATTTGACTTGGTCACCTAGTGAATTTGAGACAGAGTGGGTGTGCAAACTGAGGTTTAGCTGATGACAGAGTCCATGCTTTTTTTTTTAGACTGAGCTCTGTCACCAGACTGGAGTGTAGTGGTGCTATCTTGGCTTACTGCAACCTCCACCTCCCGGGTTCAAGTGATTCTCCTGCCTCAGCCTCCTGAGTAGCTGAGACTACAGGCACATGCACCATGCCCAGCTAATTTTTTTTTTTTTTTTTTTTTTTGAGACGGAGTCTTGCTCTGTCACCAGGCTGGAGTGCAGTGGCACAATCTCGACTCACTGCAACCTCCGCCTCCTGGGTTCAAGTGATTCTTCCGCCTGAGCCTCCGGAGTAGCTGGGACCACAGGCCCATGCCACCATGCCCAGCTAATTTTTTTGTATTTTTAGTAGAGACAGGGTTTCACTGTGTTGGCTAGGATGGTCTTGATCTCTTGACCTCGTGATCTGCCTGCCTCAGCCTCCTGAAGTGCTGGGATTACAGGCGTGGGCTACCGCACGCAGCCTGAGTCCATGCTTTTATGCTGTTCTGCCTTGTGGCTTCACAGTCTTCTCTGATGCTCATTGGCAGGTGAGGGTAGTGGAAGAAGCAATTGGACCACTGCTTAAGTAATCAAGGGCACTACCCTAGAATGCTTGCAGGGATCTTAAGTCATAAGGAAGTTTTGCAGTGGGGTCCAAAGATGGTGTGTAAGCATAAAGATGCACGTGGGTCTCAGGAAAAAATAAAACAAATTTTCATGTTTATTTCTGCCTCATTTATTATTATTATTTTTTTTTGAGATGGAGTTTCGCTGTTGTTACCCAGATTGGAGTGCAATGGTGCAATCTCAGCTCACCACAACCTCTGCCTTCTGGGTTCAAACAATTCTCCTGCCTCAGCCTCCTGAGTAGCTGGGACTACAGGCTCACACCACCATGCCCAGCTAATTTTTGTATTTTTAGTAGAGACGGGGTTTCACCTTGTTGACCAGGGTCCACCCACCTTGGCCTCCCAAAGTGCTGGGATTATAGGCGTGAGCCACCGTGCCCAGCCCATTATTATTTTTGAGATGGAGTCTCACTCACTCTGTCCCCCAGGCTGGAGTACAGTGGTGCTATCTGGGCTCACTGCAACCTCATTCTCCTGCCTCAGCCTCCCGAGTAGCTGGGAATACAGGCGTGTGCCACCGTGCCTGGCTAATTTTTGTATTTTTAGTGGGGGCAGGGTTTTACCATGTTGGCCAGGCTGGTCTCAAGCTCCTGGCCTCAAGTCATTCAACCACCTCAGCCTTCCAAAGTGTTGGGATTACAGGCATGAGCCCCACCTTATTTATTTTTTATTATGTACTTCATAATGTACACTGTATTATCACTGTGGTGCATATATATAGGTAAGTATACATATATTGGGAGCATGTACCTGAAGTTTTGTTGGACATTCATGATCAAAACATTTGGGAACCACTGGTTTATTTGATATTTAGCTTTTTCAGAAAGCATAAAATATACAAGGCATTGGCAGGGTGTGATGGCTTACGCCTGTTATCCCAGCACTTTGGGAAGCCAAGGCAGGTGGATCACCTGAGGTCAGGAGTTCAAGACCAGCCTGGGCAACATGGTGAACCCCATCTCTACCAAAAATACAAAAATTAGCCGGGCATGGTGGTGGACGCCTGTAGTCCCAGCTACTTGGGAAGCTGAGGCAGGAGAATTGCTTGAACCTGGGAGGTGGAGGGTACAGTGAGCCGAGATCGCGCCACTGCACTCCTGCCTGGGCAACAAGGATGAAACTCCATCTTTTTTTTTAAAAAAAGAAGGAAACAAAAAAAATTGCAGTCACTAATGTGAAAGAGGTCTTTGTGTCTGTGTCTCAAATATAGAACCAGTCTTAAATTTGAAGCTGTGGTGACTGGTAATGGTCCCTTAGACAAATCTAGATGTTAAAATTTGGTTAAACCTCTTCTGTTTTAAACATCTTAATTTTGGCTGGAGGCCAGAAGGACTCAAATAATCAGTTCACACAAACATGACAGTTATAGTGGTTGTATTTGTACCATTCCCCAACTTTAGACTATTTTCAAATCATCTAAATATTGAAATTTCGGATATGTTGATTTCTTAATATTTTACAAGCTAGACTTGGTTTCTTCATTTCATTCCACTGCAGTAGTTGATACATTATCTTAAAATGAGCCATTCCAGAATTCTATCTAATTTTAAAAATATCTTATTTCCCAGCTTATCATTTTACATTTGAATAGATTAATTTTTGTTTAGGTTTTTTTTTGTTGTTTATTTGTTTGTTTTGAGACAGGGTCTTGCTCTGTCACCCAAGGCTGGAGG